TGGCTGTTATCAGGTATATCTGAATGTGTACAACAGGGGTTTGAGCAAAGCTTTTACCACTGAATGATGCAAAATACTTCAGAAACCGTGTCAAATGTTTATGTTTATGTTTATGCATTTGGCAGATGCTTTTATCCAAATATGACACATATGGCATTATAGGGTTAAGACCCCCGAAACAGCTTTAAAATCCCCCAAATATAGCTTTAAAAGCCCCCAAAAACAGCTTTAAAAGCCCCCAAAAACAGCTATAGCCCTTTAAAGCCTGATCCAGGAAAAATAAGACGAACATTGGATTTTTTTTAGTCTGAAGTCTTTCTTTGGCCCCTCAACAACATATGAAGAAAAAAAACAGAAATAATTTTGATCAAATTAGCGTGCAATAAGTAAAAAATGTATGTTGGTGTAGTCTTCTAGTGGCTGTTATCAGGTATATCTGAATGTGTACAACAGGGGTTTGAGCAAAGCTTTTACCACTGAATGATGCAGAAAGTCTCACATCCAAAAGAAACCGGATCAGATATGACACATTTGGCTTTATAGGGTTAAAGGCTCCGGAGGGACATAACTACAGATAGAAAATAGAACATGATATCAAACCAAGTTTACTTCGTTTTAAGGCATCAAACTCACAGAAGAGCAGCACTGGAAGCTGTTCTCAGTTAGAAAAGGACTTTTTTCATGTTTAAAATGTAAAAAAAAACATCTAATTTCCTACTTTACATATTTTGTAAGTTACTTTTCTCATATTGTCAAAACTAAAGATTTGTAATTGATGTGCAATAAGTAAAATGATTTTCTTTATTTCTGGTTAAGAAGGATCCAGTTTTGACTTTTACTCTGAATTTAAAGGCTCTAGAGTGAAATAACTACAAGTACAATCAATAGAACATGATATTAAATCGAGTTTACTTCGTTTTTATACATCAAACTCACAGAAAAGAGAAGATTTTTTTATTTCTGATTAAGAAGGATCCAGTTTTTTGCTTTGACTTTTAATCTGAATTTAGAGCTTTTTCACATTTATCACATTTCCGTCTTCCCTTCTGGGGACGTTTAAAAAAAAGATTAAAATGATTTAGATTAAATGTCTTTTTCCGGTTTATGTGATGATGGTTTATGGGATGGATTTAATTTAGTAAACAGGAAAACCATCTTTTTTTAATCCTACATGAGTCTCTATGTACGGTGAAACACACTATGTTCATTTTCCTGCATATTCTTTCCTATATATGTAACGTGTATGGACATAATAATAATAATAATAATAATAATAATAATAATAATAATAATAAT